GATTATGCTAATGAATAACGCCTCTGAGATGAAAGTGATTTTTTGGATCATTATGGAGGTATCATTTGCAAGACGCGAGAACAAATGTAGCAGGAATGAGATTAACTTAAGCATTTCTTTTCCTTGTATTTAAATCTACACTAACATGGCTCAGAAAATATGCGTAAATGATAGTTATTCGAAGTTAGACTATTTCATTAAATTTCTAGCGCATTTCTGCATTTCTGAAGCAATTAGGATTATGCATATTCTCCTAACATCTCCGGTGAAGTTGAAACTATTGTTTTACATTTTTCCATTGTACCCGTCGCTTGATGAAATTATTGGAAGCAAAGAACATTATCTGAAAATTATAAAACGGAAATTAATTAACATCTCCAGACAGCAGTTTTTTATTTAAATAAAATGAAGTAGCTGAAGTAAAATGAATAGTACGACATAAAATGTTTTCTAGTCGTAAAAGTAAGAATAGCTGTTAGAGAAACTTTCTTTTCAAAAGGAAACTCGATGCAGTAGTTGTCAAAGGAATACGAAACACTGTCTCAGTAGAGCCTTGCGCTTTCCTGACGTTAACGCCAGCATTCCTACTACTGTGCAGTTATACTCTGCTTCAGCTATTACAGCATGCAAGCTGGACTAAAAGGGTTATTTTACCGTTTAGTCTAGCTCTGAAGTTATCTGTAATTATTTTAAACACTTACTTAATAGTTCAGTTTATTATTTCTAAAATTAACGAACTTTATTTTTCATGCTCAAGATGAAGAGGTTTACTTTTTGTTAAAAATTATTGTTCTTACGACTTAGCACATTCTTTGCATTTGATAGAGTACATGTCTCTCAACTCTTTGAATACGGGTTTAAATACGCATATATCAATAATTTATGAAGAAACCAAAGCTGTCTATTTAATTTAATCACCTTGTATATATAACATTTAAAGTAAAATAGGTAAAAATGGAATTTCAAAGCTAAAATCTATCGATAACTCAGCTAAGATTTATTTAATTATTAATAGATATTATCCCCTGAAAAGTCAGTCTTTTTCCACGAAATCAGTAATAATTAATACATTTTATATTTTACACTTTTTATATACTTATTTTTTTAGTTTCTCTACCTTGATTAAAAGGCACTAATCACCAGAGCCCGAGGGGGAGTCTATAACCTCCTCCTCGGAATGGCAACAGTCAAAAGATTTTGAAACATATAACATCTCAACCCTTAGTTAGAGATTTCGACAGTTTTTTTGCATGGACATAACTTTTCCTCTTATCCAAGAGTAAATTGCCTTGTGTTACTTTTTATTGCTTTTGACATGTAATTCTTCTATGAAGTGTTTTATTTTAATTAAATTTACTTTGTTAAATGTAAAGTTTACATGGCCCTCTCGTTATAAAGCAAATTTTAGCTAATACACTAACGTTATGCTGATCTAATAATATTAAGAAGTTTTATTTTCCATATACTTTTGTTTTACGAGAAAAAAAATATATTTATTAACTTAAGAGAAATAAGAAAATAAACAAGTTATTATTACACATATGCACAAATATATGTTTTGAGAAGTATCTGCTTAGCATTCACCTAAGATTACCCCCCTTCCCCTCCTTGAAAGGGCTAAAACGCACTTGCAAAAATTACGTTACCTTTTCGAAAATGCCCCCCTTCCCTAAACATACTTTAATTTTTTAATGTTCTAGTCGTTTTATGAATGAAATTACTTCCGCTCGTACAGAGAATAATTAATGTTCATAAAAACAGTTTTAATTGCGTAAAGCAGAACTGTTTATGCACTTCGTATTAGTAACTCTAAAGACACCGTAGGCGGATATTATTACGGACAATCAAAGCAATCTTTATATTAATAGAACGCAAGATATAATTTATTTGCTTTCGGTATAATATTTATTAAGAAAATATATCAACATTTAAACATAAAGAATTATGCAATAAAAAAGAAGAACTCAGCCTTAATGGAATGAAGCTGAACGCGACACGACGACTGAGTGATTCATAAAATATGATGATTTCCAATTTCTAGTTACAGAAAAGTTCCTGTTGTATCGACATTAACGATAGGGGAGGAGTTAGCTAGCAAAAGAATAATCTCCTCACCCCCCCTCGCTTGTTGCACATAATTGGGGGTTATTGTATTCTAAGTACGTGTGCAACAGTAACATCAGTCTCGTTTTTGACAGTACTTTTTACTAATTGTGCGGAATCGAATTATGTGACGTTTATTGCACTTTTCTTACACTTTCTGCTTTTATAATAAATGTTATTACATAAAACTACTGGACGGATTTTATCTGTAAAACAGACCTTTTACTTTCAAGCAAAAGAAATAGTGTTTCGAAAGTTTGGTTTCATTGGGAAGCAAGCATGATCGCTTATCATAATTTTCGTTGAGAAAACGGAAGACTTCTGCCTTGACATCAGTTTGTAAAATCATATAACTTTACAGCTGCTGTGTGTTTGATGAACATTTATACAAGTTTCATTCTGTTGTCACATATAATATTTAATTTTGTAATGTTTTCTTAATTAGTAATATTTTTAGGAACTTTTGAGTTTAAAAAACTGCATTTTTGTATTTTTTAATGATACTTTTCTTTATTCTTTCAAATAGTAGGCTGTTACAATAATATTGGGTTCCGAAGTTTGAATTACTTAGTTATTGCTTGTGATAAGCATAAAAAGTCTTATAAAAACACCATATGAAAGCGCGCAACGTCTTTAAACATTTAGAACACAAAGACTTCATTGTTCTTTAAATGCAAAAAGACAACAGCAGGTGATTAAACGAAAAAATTGTTGAAGAAGATAGAATAACATAATAAATATTAACTGATGGATTTCATTTCAGTGAAATAAAAATGCCCATGTAGATGTCATAAAGGATCTAAAAACTCCTCATACAACGTCATGTTCATAGAAATGTTGAAAATTTTAGTTACTTATACTCTACTTTCAGTTAATCATATAAATACGTAATCGATTTTCAGAGATATCACTTGCAAATAAAATGATCTAATGCTAATGTATTTGCTGATAAAAATCTCATTAGAATTATGCCTCTTTAGTAGCAGTTTTGGTTAGTGACACATCACGTGTCAAACAAAATTCTGTACGACGAGATTGATGAAAATTACTAAAAAATATGTTTGCAAATTCTGATGTCAGTGGTAATAAAGATAGACTAGAATTGTACCGGCAGATAATTAAAGTTTTAAGAAATTTAATCAGTAAAACATAAATGATATTAAGATAATAGACTATTTCATCAACCGAAAAAAGTACATTCTAATAAACATAAAAAAAAGACTCTGTGTGTATGTGTGTAAAGGAAATATTTCACACGGACTTAATTTCTCACAAAACAAAGAAAGGAATTCAAATACAAATACACTATTAGGATTTGGATATACGAGTAAACAACTGTGGAAAATTACTCTGTAAACAAATTTTCCAAAAAATGTTTAAGAATATAACAGAGAGATAGATCTATTAACATGTTATTTTGTATAGCTGGATGAAACCTTGAATCAAAGATATGAATAAAAATAGAAAGGGGATGCAGCAGTAACTCCAGGGAAATAAATTAAAGCACTATTAAATTTATTCCAGACTTTGATATTAAATGCTGTAAAACATTCGCAAATTTATTCTAATTTCATATTTGATTCATTAAATTTCTTGTTTCAATACTAAACTCCTTTTCAGAATGGATATATCATTTCTTGGCACACTAATGTGTATGCATATGTATATATATCTATATACATATATATATACATAGTGAAATTACTTTTATAGTCTCAATTATTATCGCTTGACAAAATGCGCTATAGGTATTAGCTTAATTCGAGTTTTCGAGTTTTGAGCTGCTTTTCCCTTGATAAATCTGGCTCAAACCTCAAGTTGAGCTATTTACCATTTATTTCAATTTTTGTACATATTTACTGTGTATTTGAAATGTATTTATTTTTTACAAGAGTTCTTTTTAAAATTGTTTGTGCGTTAAAATTTCTTAATATTTTCTCACAGTTTTTGATTCTGAAGTCATCTCGATTTGTAATTTTTACATTTAGGTTTTACGATATAGCTTTTACTACTTTAATATTGTTTCTACTTGTTACATGATTTTACATTTTTGCTAAGGAACTATAGCGTCAAATGTACTTTTTAGCATTAGCATTTTAACATTCCTCTTACTTATAAAATTTAAAACATTTTGCAGCCCAATGCGCAAAATTTTTGACCACTAAGGTCTCTCTAATTCATGTTGTCTTGCTACTTTCGTATATATATATATAAAATTTAAATAGAAATTGAAAAGCTAATAAGTATAGTATTGTTAGACCTATTTGGTCTTAAAATATTTGCGCAAAATTCTGCAAAAATATGAAATAATATGAAGAAATATTGTAGTGAGCTCGCTAAAAAGTTACCAGGAGCTGTGGCTCCAAGAAATAGTTCAACGCAGTATTTTTTAAAATATTGACATGGAAGTATTATTTAAAATATTAACATGGAAAGGTATGTGTGTGTGTGTTTGTGAATGAGTTAATAATAAGGATTTGAATCATCAAATTTATTTGACGAAAAGTGCAACAGAGATTCTGATTCTAAATATACCCTTTTTCGTTAATCAGAACTGAGAAAAATTTTATTTACTTAGAAAGTAATTTTATATAATTTTATATTAATACTTTGTCTCGTTTGTCCTCCATAATCGTATAGTCTTCAACAAACTTTGAAAATAATTTTAATTTAATTAACAAACTTTGTCCATAATTATAAAATATTTAGCAGCAGGTGTTCGGGAGCATTAAGCTGAACAACACAGAAATTTCTGCAAGGAACGCTTTAATCATAAACTATTTATCTTTAAACAAGTGTCCCACAGCTATTTTAAAATCGTTACTTAATGCTGCTTTCTTAAAATAGTGTTTGATGTCGTAATATATATTCCACATTAAGGACTTGAAAATACTTACCATAAACATGCATTCTTTTTTCAGCTTTTATGGTCCTAAATGATGGTACTTCTGTGGATACTTCACAGCCATAAATTCCTTCACTTTCTAATTCACTTTTGTGCAAAAGAGCATGAGTGGCATTTGAGTTATGCATCTAAAATAAAAAAGCACATAGCAAGTAACATCTAATTCTCAATTAACGTGCAATTTCGAGGTAATCCATGTGCACACAAACTAGTTCAACACAAAATTTATCTATAAGAAACTTATTCGTCTTAATGTAAAGTACAGCTTGCATTAGATACCACCAGATTTGATACGCAAAACTTCACTGCTTATATAATGAATTCAGTTATTATACAGAAAGTAAAATTTTAACATTTTGTTACCCATTCATTGCCCAAATTATGTTTAGAATGTTCAGTAATTAAATAACGTATCAAAGAAAAAAAAATAATAGTTCTCTCCTCTGACTTATTAATTAAAGCCATTTTTCCTCTAGTTAGAGAGTATTAATTAAAGCCATTTTTCCTCTAGTTATAGAGGAACTTCATTGTATATTTCATTCAGGGGTCATTTATTGTTAAGTTACATAGCACAACTATCATTTCATATTTGGCTGCTTATAAGTATATGACTATAGAAAATTTGAAATTTTAAGACTATTCATAGTTCATTACAAAAAATAAAGTATCTTTCAAAGGAGGTAGGATATCTAAAACAGTAATTTAAGAGATTTACAAGTGTATATAAGAAGTTGCTTAGATTGGCACCAAGGATTTATTAAAATCCTTGGTGCCAATCTAAGAAATGAACCAAATAAGATAGGCTTTTGGATTGTCAGAGTTTTGGTGACATGAAAACATTTAGAAAATGTTATAAGCAAAATTAATTTTTATGCATGATTTTTGACACAAATTTTTAATTATGCCTTTCCTAACCTTACTAATGATTATTTTGTAATCATTCCTATATTTAAATGCATAGTTTACCCAAACATTATGCAATTTAAACCACTTTTACCTGTAGTGAGACTCGATTTTTAAAGTCATAAATGCTGGTTTATTCCAGATTTTAGTTTTCGTGAAAATGAGCTTTGAAACTGTTACTTATTTATTTTTTCCTTACAATAGTGGTATCTTTTGAAAATGTATATTCAAAAACTAACACGTACGTAAGTTTGTACGAAGGCAAAAATTTTTACTACAAATAGGTACGTTTTTAAGTATCGATTTGTAGCAATATGTTTACCCGGTTTACGGATTTTTTTCAATAATACCTAAGGTTTTTGTGTGACTAAGTTGAATGTGACTAATCATGGCACATCAATTACGTGATTAATCATTAAACAGGTCTCTCTGATAATACTTCTTTCTGTCGTGCGGGCTGTGTAATTAGGCTTTTCATGGTTTTCTCCCTGTACAAATTAAATATGAGCAGTTTTCCCTCAGAAACGTATTGGTATTATCTCTTGTATAGTTTATAGTATTTTTAACATAATATAATGAACCTCTCTTGATTACCAACTACCGCAGAAGAGATTTGATCGTATATACAGTACCCGCAGCGTATAAAAACAACGTCCATTCTAGACTTTTTTTAGTTTATTAAGCGACTAAGTTTAAGAAACGTCGATATGAGCATTGCAAACCATAAATTTTAAAATTTTCAAGTCAAATAATAACCAATAAAAATCCACAAATTGAAACTTAATACTAAAATTAAATCATTTTCACAATTCTGAATTTCATTATAAAATATTTTATAAAATTATTTTCATAATTGCGTTTTTGATGAAATTTTATTTCTTGCAAACAACTGGTCACACGTAACACATCCAACTTCAGTACTGCGGTTGACTGTAAACCTTCATCGGTTTGCCTTCCACCACACTTCAAATCATATCATCCGACTAAACAAAAGTTAGCTTCATTTTATTCCTATGTTTTCCGTCAAGTTTGCTCCTCCAAACTATCCTTTGATGAAGCACTAAATTATTTAAAAGTAATAGCTGTAGACAGGGGGTTTTCACCCAACATTATTAATCAAGCAGTTAAAAAATCCTCATCTCAACACACCAAAAGGCACACTCTTGTTTTAGGAGATTATAAAAATTCTCTTGTCATTCCCTTCTTTCCATCAATTAGCTATAACGTTGCACGTATTTTGCAGAAATTTAACTTTCGGGTTGTTTATTATCCCATCAATAAAATTCCGAGTTCCATTTCGGATATGAATTCCTGGGGTATTACAGGATTCCTTGCCAGTGTGGTTTAATTTACATTTGCCAAACTAAGAGAGCCTTAAAATTTCGCGTTAAGGAACATGAGGCATATGTTAGAAAAAAGGAAACACAGAAATCTTCTGTTGCCCAACATTGTTGGTCCTAAAACCACACTTTCAATTTTTCTGCTGCCAAAATTATTCAAAAAACATCTTTCATTGATGAACTGGATTTTATAGAGGCATTTCACATTAAAAAAAATATTTCTGTTCTAGTTAACGACCCTAATTCCAATCCATCTTTGCCTTCAGTTTTTAAAAAAAATTATGGTTAATTCTGGTTTCATCAACATATGGCGTCAGTAGCTTATCTCCTGTCCAGGATTTCTTGTCTTATCTTATCTAACCATTATATCTTATATCGTTCATTTGCGCTTTTGCAACTGAGGATGATGGTTCGGTAAAACCATCGAAACTAGTCCAGTGAAAATTTGAAAATATAACGGGGGGGGGTGGGGGGGGGGGGGGGGGGGGGGGGGGGGGGGGGGGGGGGGGGGGGGGGGGGGGGGGGGGGGGGGGGGGGGGGGGGGGGGTGGGGGGGGTGGTGACGCTGATTCTGATTTTTGTTGTTTGACTTCTAAATTAAACAACTACTCTGTTATTGTATATTTGCATTGTATACTTGCTTCATATCGTTCAACAATAGTTTTGCAATTCTATTCTCAATTTCGTAAAATTGCTGATGACTTTTTTGATCAGCAGCTTTCAGTTCTAGAATTTTTCTTAGAATTTTCTTTTCTAGATCCGATTGTTGATGGTATGTCATCGTTCTTTCTTTCAACCCTTTCGCACTCAATTTCTGCGGTTCTTTTAACACAGTGTTTTATATATAGTCAGTTTTTATACACATTGTCTCAATATTGTTGTGAACTGACACTTATTCTAAAAAGGATGCTGAAATATTAGCTATAGTTTACAATTCTTTTGAGGCTGAGGATTCTTTTACATAAAAGACAGGTTTCTGAAAGTAGTTTTTAACCGACCTTTAAGAGACTGGCTTCTTGCATTGACTATAACTTGCATGGTCTGCAGAAGAAATTATCTACTTATCTTCTCGAAGTCTGCACTTTCACAAAATTCAGTTCTGTTCATTTAATGAACATTCTTTGTGTAAACACATTCGAAACGCTTTTATAATACCCTAAAATTAAAGTCTAAATATTAGAAGTTGTATCTGCAGAAAGAGAGACTAATGCTTTTCAGAAAGGGATAACAGCGTGTGTGCTGCACTATTTAATTAGTAAAGCTTTTTTTTTTTTCAGTTCACTGTCTCATTTAAAAAGAAAATCATTAATACAGAGTGCACAAAGTCGCGGAAGAAGTATAACAGCTCGTTGTTTTAGGGTGAAGTAACTTTGGTTCTAATCATTCTTTAAAAAGCAAGGTTCAAAGTCTTTGTGCTGAGTTGCATAAGCTACACAACCTAGACATGGTGCTAAAATGACCTCTGGTTTACGCTTCTCCGACAGTAGGCAAATTTGATTAATCAGTATATGGAGGTAAACTCTGGCTGTTATTGTTTCTTTAAAGAAAAATAGTCCTAAAAATCTTGTCTTACTACATCACACCAAACATTAAATTTTTTGCTGTCCCCCTTCAATGTTCTTGTAACATTACGATTTTTGGATTGTCAAATCCCCATATTATGTATAGTAAACCCAAAGAAATTGTTGGGAAAGAACTTTGATACACATGTAATAACACCAAACAATTTACGGCACTAATACCTGCAGGGTGCTCAAAATAATAAGGTTATAGTTGTTCAGGAACTTTGAGGACATCCTATAGTATTTGTCTTCCATGAGGTCTTGCTGATACAGCAGGTTAGAAGTATATACTTTGCTCCTTTTCAACATCGAGGTTTCTGCTTTTGTCAATAACTAATGTTTTCTTCTTAATTTGTTGGGTCCATATTACACTGTAATTCATTTCTTCAGTATTTAAAACCAATTTCTGAATCACTTTTCAATATTAATATGTGTTCTGGCAATCTTCTGTAACACAGTTGTTGTTTCACTTATATTATATAATTCTGTGTGGCTTTATTCACTTAACAGCCCAAGTAAAACGTCTCTTTTCCAGCTATCAGCTACAAGATGATCCGCTTCTTCCTATTCAAAGAAAAGGCTTGACTTAACATCAAGATCTTTTACCGATTTAGCTTTTTCTTTCAGGTCATCTGAAAGACCGACAGATTTCTTTGTGAGCAGGAAGGTGGTCTTCATTAACACTAAATAATGATTCCACAAGAAGGAATGGACGAATGGAAGATGAGCTGTGCTAATAAGAATTTATGTATAGTTTAATATCTACCGAAGATGTATATTTTGATTTAAATTAATGTAAACAAATAACTTACAAACGTAATGATCTGAGTGTATATGTATTTAAGGGCAAAGATAATTTTAAAATATTTTTCTTTAAGTTTCCTACAATAGTACTTATTATTCTCTGGAGGAAATGGTGTCTCTCATACAAGTAATTTAGTTACAAATATTTTTATCACCTTATTTGATAAAACAGGGTATACATGTAAATGTATATAAAAATTAATTAAAATATTATTACACATTTTTTTTTTCATTATATTAAATAAATACCAGGAATAATATCGAGAACAATATTCTTTGGCAAAAATACACATGTTACTAGCATCTGTTTATCGTATCATATTGAGGCAGTAACTGCCAAATGAGCAAAACATATATTAAATAATTCTTTAGCATATTTTGCTGCGAAACGTGTTTCAAGAAGTAAATCAGGTATTAGTGAAAAAAATGACTTCGCTTTTAAATTCAAGCACATACATACAGAATTTTCTTCTTTTATTCAGGGCATGTCGTTCCTAAAAATTAGGTAACGTACGCTTCCTT